ATGTGCTCCTGCATTATGGCAGGATAATTCTCCCATATTAACGTAACTCTCCTGAATGTAGGGCTGAAACGAATAATTCAGATTAATCGTGATTAATTGACTATTGAAAGAATATAGAGACTGTAAAACACACCTTTAGCTGACAGAGAGACCCACTTAGAGCAGCAAAATTGTAAAAGAATATAGAAACATTTAGCATATTTTCATCTGTTAATTTGCTATTCAGTGTAAACATTTTAGTGTCATCTTTAATGTCCTCTTTTGCTGTCTTATTATTAATTGAAAAAATGATCAACTGATTAATCGATTTGCTAAATAATCATTTGTTGCAGCCCTACCTGAATCTTTGAAGGAGCAGACTGGATTTAACTTTGTTATTTTTGTGTTTCAGGGCAGAGCGGCCTGGGAAAGTCCACCCTGATGAACACTCTGTTCAAATCCAAGGTGAGCCGTAATAAATCGGTGCAGTCCGGCCCAGAGGAGAGGATCCCCAAGACGGTCGAGATTAAATCCATCAGTCACGGTTGGTCTATGCTCAACTTTAACTGCTCAAGCAATTCCCACTGCACATATGGTGCTAATAATGAGGCGTTTTCCATTTGAACTGTGTTTTGCTTTTCCAAAAAAAGTAAAAAAACAAAAACAAAACAATGCACTGGACTTCGTTTTCAAGTTTAAACACTCTAAAAATGATCTAGAAATAAGTAAAAATTTCAGACAAAATTAACCCCTTAATTTTAGTAGGTAAATGGGAAGATTTTCCAATAGAATGAGTATTTTTCACTCTTCAAATAAAATATTTAGATATGTTTGCACTTGTGGTAAAACAATGCAGTTGCTTTTTCTTGGTTTAAATGTAAAGTGTCTTGTTCCATTGACAAAGTGTCTCACTTATCTCCTGAATTCAAGAAAAAATGACTAATTTAGATTTGAATTTTTTTGCAGTGAAGACGTTTCTCTTCCATCCAGGAAGCCTTTTCAATTCAAAATGTCAGAAATAGTGTTGAGTTCCAGGTTTTATCCAGCAGCCTACGGTGGCCGGGAAGTGCAAACCAACAATACAAAATCTGAAACACTTTTACAAATCTTGAAACAACTTTACATTTCTGTTCCCCCCTTCAATTCTTGCAAATAAAGAGTAAATTTGACCAAATCCACAGGATTTGTTGTTGGTGGTGAGAGGAATAAGCACAGTTAAAGACCTGAAGGTACATTTACTTCTTCCCATGTTATGGAGGAGGAACAGATTATTTCAGTCAACTGAATCATCCATTCTCTCCTCTCCTCCTCCCATATATTTGGGAAATAAAGAGCAACTGTTTCCAATTTCTCTAAAATTGATATGTGTGATTTGTTATACTAGAAATGTCCTTAATCCAGTAACAGTTCATATTTTACATTAGAAAAAACTCGAAGGACCGACCACAGGAAAAAGAAAACCGCGTTAAACTGCTCATATGAGTGCCGCAGAACGGGCAAAACGCAACTTGATTAGCTTCCATCTTGGGTCATCATGAACGCTCCGGATATCACTTCCGGGTAAGCTTAGAAGACAGTCCCTCCCTTTCCATCGGATTTTGTCAGTTGTAAAAGTGTTTTCTGAAATCTAAATTTGTTTTATGATTTGTAAATGTGTTTCGTTTGTTGTAATTTTGTTTTCTTAAATGTAAAGTTGTGTCAAGATTTGTAAAAGTGTTTCAGATTTTGTATTGTTGGATTGCACTTCCTGGCCACCGTAGCAGCCCAACAAAGCCTGGTTTTGGTTTATAGGCAAATAGAAACGGATGAACGGGTCCCCCCCTTTGGAATGGGGGTCGTTTGGTTTCTTTGTTAGCCTGCAATGCCCCATACCTGTCTATGTCTCTAAAAGCGGTGTCGTTAGAGGGA